ATAGTTTTCATGTTTGGGTTACAATCACACAACGATCAAACACCCATCCCTCCACCAGTGCATATTCCCCACCACCAATATCCTCAGTATACCTCCCCTTTCCCACCCTCCCTCTGCCTCCATGGCAGACAATATTCCCCATACTCTCTCTCTACTTTTGGGCATTATGGTTTGCAATGCAGATACTGAGAGGTTATTATGTTTGGTCCTTTATCTACTTTCAGCACACATCTCCCACTGACTGGATAGCAAAGGATGTAAATTGTGATTTGTGATTTCTCTGATTTAAGCCCCACCTGAGTAGACAGAGGTCGGAAGAAGATGCTGGTGATCCCTTTGGTGATCATGCGCAAATATTAGCGGTTAGGTGTGATTTGAGTTCTGCATCTCGTGAGCTTCACACAGAAAGGACCATATCTGAGGCATGGCTGGGTGTGGGTGGTGGGTCTCACAGTACACAGCCCAGACTGAGCTGAGCAGACCCCCCACCCCCAACTCCTTCAATGTCCATATGCAACTGACACATTCTGGCTCTGTTCCACAAAACTGAAAATGCATTTGAAGGGGACACGAGATCTTCAGCCATGGGAAGAGAGGGCCAGAAATATCAACCCGCCTCCAACTGTACGAATCACTCCGAGTCAGAGAAATTGTGGTGGATGTCCTTAGCCTTGGGCTGGAGCGATAGCACAGCGGGTAGGGCGTTTGCCTTGCACGCAGCCAACATGGCTGACCCGAGTTCGATTCTTCTGCCCCTCTCTGAGAGCCTGGCAAGCTACCGGGAGTATCTCGCCCGCACGGCCAAGCCTGGCAAGCTACCCGTGGCGTATTCGATATGCCAAACACAGTAACAACAAAGTCTCCAATGGAGACATTATTGGGCCCGCTCAAGCAAATCGACAAACAACGGGAGGACCGTCCTTAGCCTTAGTACCAGGGCCAGGGAGGGGAACACAAAACTAAACAAACAAGGGGCTAGCAGTGGAGAGGGCATGGTCTTGTCCCTGGCGGACCAGGTTCCATGCCCAGCATCCCCTATGGTCCCCTGGGCTCTGCCAGGACTGATCCCTGAGCACAGAGCCTGGAGGAAGCCTGAGCACCACTGGGTGTGTCTCCCCATCACCAACACCACACACACGCACACGCACATATACACATGCACACAAAAGCGTTTGTGTGGGAGGAATGTCCTCCTCAAAGAGGCCACCTGCCCAACCAAGCGGCGACTGCAGATTTCTCAGCTGAGAAGGGTGAGCTAGGAACCCAATAAATGCAAACCCACACAGCTCTGCCCCACAAACACCCGGAAGGAGGATGGACTGGGGCAGGGTGGCCCAGGCCATAGAAAGCAAGGTCAGCGCCTCCAGCCAAGGTCCCTGCTTCTCGGGGCAGTGCCCAGGCAGGTCAGCAAGGGCGTCTCAGAGAGACAAGGAGAGGGGCAGCGCCCTTCCAGGTGGTGGGCGTGGGAACCCCCCCCCCCCCACACACACACACTCTCTCCAAGGCGGTGTGGCCAGTCCCCCAGTATGCGCAGAACACAGAGCCAGGTGGACGTCCTGAGCACCGCCACCGGAGGTGGCCCTCCAATTTTTTTTTTTTTTTTAAAGTCAATCAGCAAAAGCCTTTCAGTGTGCGCGCACGGGGCCAGGCGTGGGTGCGGAGCGACACCAGCGACCCACGCTCCGTTTGCCAAGCTCGCTTCACCCGCTTCTCCTAGCGGCCACTGGATAAAGGGAGGCCACGGCGTAGGGCCCAGCTGGATCCCCTACCGCCACCCACCTGCAGCCCCGCGCGCGCGCGCGCGCGCTCCCCGGGGACCCAGACCCTGACTCCGGAGCGCCCCCGCGCGGCCGCCGCGGCCGTCTTACCCGCGTCCACGGCGCGCGGACCCCGTTGCCCGCTGCCTGCTGCCCGCCGCGGACCCTGCAGTGCCCGGGCGCCACGAAAACAGCCGCGGCCCGTGCGGTGGCCGCCTCCGCCCCGCGCTCGCCCGGCCCCGCCGCTTCCTGCCGGGCAGGGCCCCTCAGTGTCCGGCCGGGGCAGGGCCTGGGCACTGGGCCCCGCCGTGTCCGGCTTGGGCAGGGCCTGGGCGCTGGGCCCCGCCGTGTCCGGCCTGGGCACTGGGCACCGCCGTGTTCCAGTCCTGGGCCTGCCCCGTGTTCCAGTCCCGGGCAGGGGATGGACTCGGAGCCTCTCTCAGGGCCCGAGTCTTCCTCGTGTGTCCAGGAAATAAAAGTGTATTTTTCCTCTCCCCGCCCCGTAAAATGCGCCTTTGGATTCCTGCTAAGTTCCCAAGCGGCAGCTGCCTCTGAGCACTCGGGAGGGACCCTCCTCTAGAGCCCAAACCCAGGGGCAGGGAATAAACGGCCTTTTCCCTTCCCTCTTCTTTTATTTTCATTAATCCCAAAGAAATGGTCCCCCAAGTCAGATCAATACACGCGCGAGCTGTATGTGTCTCTTCCCAGAACCGAAACCTGTTAACATACACCTGGACCTTGCTCCAGTGCACCCAGCCAATCAAAACTGGTTTCTCCGGAGCAGGGCAAGTACAAACGGCCTCTGTCAAGTCACGGTGATCCCAGTGCCCACGGCGGGTCAGGCCTGAGCTCCTGGAGCCTGCCAGGCAGGGAGCCAGCAATCTGGAGCACCTTGGTCGGGCCCTATGGACGTGGGGATGGCACTGTCACTGTTAGCCAGGCCACGTCAGGGATGGATATTAGACGCCCACAAGCGTCCTGGCCTCAAAGCCAGCACAGCTTGTACTGTTTGCCCTAACCCCCTAAAGCCCCAAGGCAAGGACAGTCCTCCTCATTTGGTCACTGTCCCCTAAGCCTCCCCCTGTCTTTGCTGAGGTTTGTAGTTAAGATCGAGTTTGTCTCGAGGGACCCACTCCCCCGGGGTGGGGGGTGGGAGGTGGGGGAGGCGTCTCCTGACCCTTCCCCCCCCCCCCCTTCTCTTTCTTTCCCTGTAAAAATGCTGCCCGTTGACCGGGATGGTCACTGGGAGGACCTGACGGCCACCCCCTTCCAGCTTCGCGAGAATCTCAGTTGGCCACACTGAGTGGCTGAGGTGGCCATGTGGCCTCAGAGTGACCGGGTTCCAGTGGAGACCCGCCATTTTCCAGTTAACCTCAAGGGGGGCCGAATGGAATGGGAGTGCGGAGGAAAGGGCCGGCTTAGCCCACAGCCCCCGCCGAGGGCGAGACTTGAGGCTAACGTACCACAGACTTTGCCCTCTGAGCTTCACCTTCCAAGTTCCAACGGTGTCGTGGGACAGCCTACACCAATCCACCACGGCCAAGTCCACTCCATTTCCAGGATGCAGAGGGCCAACAGAATCCCAACAGTGAGTGAGTGGACAGGAGATTTTCTTTTATTTATTTATTTTTTGCTTTTTGGGTCACATCCGACGATGCACAGGGGTGCACAGAGGTTACTCCTGGCTCATACACTCAGGAATTACTCCTGGTGGTGCTCAGGGAACCATATGGGATGCTGGGAATCAAACCCAGGTCGGCCGCGTGCAGGGCAAATGCTCTACCTGCTGTGCTATCGCTCCAACTCCAACGCGGAGATTTTCAACTCCTTTTATCCACCTCACCCCGCACCCCCCGCGGATGGCCACTGCCATGACAGGCCAAGGCACAGCAGACAGCACGACCATGGGGACAGTAACAGACCCACCGTCCCCCACCCTGTCCCCCCACCTCCCCCACCCGAGGTCAGCACTTCCCCCAGGAGAGCAGGAGCTCCCTGGCGGACAGACAGTCATAGTCTGCAGCATAAGTGCCGGTCAGGGACCCTAAGGAGCACCAGACTCATCACAGGCCCATGTCTGCCCAGGCTGAGGGTTTCCAAATGCACCAGGAGTGGAGTCTCTCTGCCTATCAACGGTCGGAGAAGGGGAGGGGGGTCCCCTCTTCACACAAGGGCCTGGCATGAGCTGGTGCTTCCGGCAGACCCATGCAGGCAGGGAGGTGGCAGGGAGAGTGGGAGAAGGGAAATGAGGGAAGGGAGCGGGGTGGGGGTGGGGTGATGGCGCCTTCTATAAACCCCCCTTCTAAAACCAAAACCAGAGGCCGGAGGAGATAACGCTGGTGCCTCGCATGAGGCCGGCTTGGACACTCCCCTGGCTCTGAGCGCCGCCAGGAGTGATCCCTGAGTCAGGAGGAAGGAAGGAGCACAGCTGAGGGTGGCCCCCCCAAACAAAACACCAAAAGCCAGAACCTGATATTGCCCCCTGAGATGGTGCTCCGGGAACACTTTCCTGAGATGCGTACACAAGCACTTGCAGGGTCCTTACTCATTAGTCACTGCAGTCCTGACCCCTCTTGTGAGGTATAAACACACACAAAGAAGGGAAATGATACCCCCAACCCTGAGACGAGAGGAGAAAGCGTTCACAGGCTTTATCAATAAAAATGTAGCTCAGGGGCTGGAGTGATAGCACAGCAGGTAGGGAATTTGCGTTGTATGCGGCTGACCCAGGTTTGATCCCCAGCATCCCATATGGTCCCCTGAGCACTGCCAGGAGTAATTCCTGAGTGCAGAGCCAGGAGTAACCCCTGTGCATAGTCAGGTGTGACCCAAAAAGAAAAAAAAAAGTAGCTCAGCAGTGCTGGAGAGAGCTTGCCTTGCATATAGCCGACCTAGGTTTGATCCCTGGCACCCCATATGGTCCCCTAAGCACCACCAGCAGTGGATCACCGAGTGCAGAGCCAGGGGTAAGCCTTGAGCACCGCCGAGTATGGCCCAAACACCAAAACAACTTTCTTTTGGGTCACACCAGCAATGCCGCTCAGGGGTTACTCAGGAATCACTCCTGATGGTGCTCAAGGGACCATAAAGGATGTCGGGTATTGAACCTGGTTTGGCCACATGCAAGGCAAATGCCCTACCCGCTGTACTATGGTTCCTCCCTAATAAATTAATTCCATTAAATGCCATTCAAAGGAGTGTGAAGACCTGGCCATGTTTGATATAGCGCACAGTTAGTGAACAACTCTGATAAAGCTTTCCACCCCACTAAAAGCAGACGTGCAAGTGTTAGCTTTAATGAGTCACGTTTGAAGGTTCTTCTTTTTGGAGAACAGCCAGGCATTTTTTTATCCATTCTTTCCACTCCTTAAAGGCTTCCACGGGTTTCGGCAAATGTGGATCATTTTCACTGCTTGGCTTGGAAGTGACAACACACCAGGTCCCGGCCGGCTCATCATCGATCCACCTCACCAGCGCCTGGAGACACAGAATTCACAGGGGCCGGTTAGGGGCCGGAGCGATAGCACAGCGGGAGGGCATTTGCTCTGCATGCAGCCAACCCAGGTTCAATTCCCCGGCATCCCACAGGGTCCCCCGAGCACCACCAGCAGTGATTCCTGAGTGCAGAACCAGGAGTAACCCCTAAGCATCGCTGGGTATGACCACCAAAAAGCAAAACCAAAAAAAAAACAAACAGAAAAAAACCAGAGGTGGCATTTGACAAGAGCACGGCGAGAGGTGTCCAGAGGGAAGGAGGGAAACTGGGGACAATGGTGGTGGGAAATGTACACTGGCAATGATGGAGGGACTGTGTTGAAACATTGTATGGTGGAAATCCAGCCATGAACAGCTTTGTAACTGTGTATCTCACAGTGAGTCAATAAAAAAAAATCAAGGGGAACCCCCTTAGGCGAGAGAGCAGCTGGCTTCTAAAGTAGGTCACCCAATCAGCGCGGGACATCACCCCTGCGGATGTCCCACTTGATAAGGGCGCTCACGAAATGCATGAAACACACTTGCGGTGACAAGTGAGCACGGCCACCGGACCATGATAATGAAAATGGCGACAAATAAAGGAGAGACGCCTCCACCCTCCTAAGCATCTCCCTGGGGTGTGCCTGCAGGGTGCTCAGATCTTCTCTCCACCTGCTGAATGTCTCAGGGCAGACCTGGTGTCTGTGTATGTGTGTGTGTGTGTGTATGTCTACGTGTGTGTGCGTGCGTGTGCATGCACTCTGCATCCTCTCAGGGCAGACACAGTGTGTCTGTGTGTCTGTATCTGTGTGTGTGCACTGCATGCCCTCAGATCAGACATGGGTGTGTGTGTGTTTGCTGAATGTTCTCAGGATAGACATGGTGTGCATGTCTGTGTGCGTCTTTGTGTGTGTCTGTGTGTGTGCATGTGCACTGAATGCTCTTAGGGCGGACATGGGTGTGTGTGTGTGTGTGTGTGTGTGTACATGTGTACGTGTGTATGCGTGCATGTATGTGATGTGTTGGTGCCCACAGGTGTGGGCGTGAGTGAGCTCTGCACTACATCTGGAAAGATAAGTCACCTCCGTGACTGTGAAGGATGCACTTCACCCCATACGGCCTTTCTCTTCTCTTCTGCAAAGTGGAGGCCTCTTGCCCCGACCAAACAGAAACTGACCACTGGCCGCCCCCTTCCCACACCAGCACTTCTCCATGGGCCAGGCACCCGGGGGCAGGAGCGCAGTTGGGACGAGGAGCTTTTTCTCCACCCGTTTTCTGAGACCACAGCTTCCGACTCCCCTCGGCACCAATTTCCTCTGAGACAGAGCACAGCTCCTGAGGAGGGCCTGGCAGAAGTGGCAGCTGAAAGTAGACTATAGAGAGAACATGATTGCCACTCAAGGCCTCTTTTGCAAATCACAGCACCCAAAAGGAGAGACAGAACAAAAGGGAATGCCTTGCCACAGAGGCAGAGTGGGATGGGGGGGGGTGGGGGTTGGGGGTTTGAAGGGATACTGGGATCATTGGTGATGGAGAATGGGCACTGGTGGAGGGATGGGTACTCGAGCATTGTCTAACTGAAACCCAAGCACAAAAATTTGTAAGTCTACAACTGTACCTCATGGTGTTTCACTAGTAAAAATTAAAAAAGAAAAAAAGTGGCAGCTGCTGCCTGCACGATGGTTTCCCCTATGGGGCTCCCCCCGCCCACCTCCACGGCCACTTACCTTGTATCTCTCCACAATGCTGAAGCCGATGGCGCACTGCAGCTTGCGCAGACAGATGGGGCACAGGTCAAGGGGGCGCCTGTCAGCTTCCTCCAGGTGGTTGGAGCCCTGCATGAGGCACGCCAGCCACTGACAGTGTCGGAGCCCGAATATGTGTCCGATCTCGTGGGTCAAGGTCTGCAAGACATTCACAGCACGGCCTCGTCGCCACGCCAAGGAGCTCCGGGCGCCGTGCTCTTGCTCTCTTGCTCTTTCAGAAAACGTATTTATAGTAGCCAATTCCCTTGCCACCATCACAAAAATTTCCATTTGTTCAGGTCTCAATCTTTTTTTTGTGGGGGGGGGTCACACCCGGCGATGCACAGGGTTTACTCCTGGCTCTGTACTCAGGAGCTAGTCCTGGTGGTGATCAGGGGACCATATGGGATGCTGGGAATCGAACCCGGGTCGGCTGCGTGCAAGGCAGACGCCCTACCCGCTGTGCTATCACTCCAGCCCCAACCAACCCAAATTTAAAAAAATTTTTTTTTTTTTTGGCTTTTGAATTTTGGGTCACACCCGAAGATGCACAGGAGTTACTCCTGGCTCTGCATTCAGGAATTACCCCTGGCGGTAATTCAGGGGACCCTATGGGATGCTGGGAATCGAACCCGAGTCGGCCGCGTGCAAGGCAAACACCCTCCCCGCTGTGCTATCACTCCAGCCCCTCAGGTCTCACTCTTGGGGTCTGAGAGACCGTGAGGCGGGGAGAGCACTGGCCTGGCATACGGCTGGCTAGGGTTCCATCGCCAGCACCCCAGATGGTTGTACTCCCATCCCTCCACCCCCAGCCCTGAGCAAAGAGCTAGGAGTAAGCCCAGAGCATTGCTAGGTGTGGCCCCCAAACCCCCAAAAAACAAAGAATTAAACCCTTGTCTCCTCAAAGGTCTAACAGCCTTCCTTCTTTTATTTAAAAAAAATTTTTTTTTCTTTGTAATTGAATCACTGTGAGACAGACCCTTACAAAGCTGTTCGTGACTGGGTCACAGCCATACAGTGTTCCAACACCCATCCTTCCACTAGTGTATATTTCCTAGCGCGTTCGCACACACACACACACACACACACACACACACACACACACACACACAAAACCAACATAAAAATTCCTGCATATCTTGTTTGACTAGAGAATTTTTACTGTTTTTCATTTATCATTGTAAAACCAAGGACAATTTCATAACTTTTTTGTATGTAGCTGTTATGTGTCGGGCAATCTATCTTTAAGTAGGGATAAATCACTCTAAAAGAAACATCCTAGATAGCTTTTCCTTCAAGTCAAGCATCTTGGTTTTATTTTATTTTATTTATTTTTAGTGAATCACTGTGAGATACAGTTACAGACTTACAAATTTTCCTGATTATGTTTCAATCAAACAATGTTCAAGTGCCCATCCCTCCACCAGTGCCCATTCTCCACCATCAATGTTCCCAGTGTCCCACCCGCCACCCCCACCCTTTCCTACCTTCTGCCTCTGTGACAGACACATTCCCTCTTACTCTCTCTCTCTCCTTTTGGGTGTTATGGTTTTCAAGCATCTTGTTTAAACAAACTTCTTATTTAAAAGAAAATAGAAAAAGAAAAAGGTTTCTTTTTCCTCCTTCTCCTTCTCTTCTTCTTCCTTCTTCCTCCTCCTTCTCTTTTTTTTTTTTGCGGGGGGGGGGGGTTCACACCCCGGTGATACTCAGGGATTACTCCTGGCTCTGCACTCAGGAATCACTCCTGGCAGTGCTCAGGGGTCCATATAGGATAGCAGGGATCGAACCCAGGTCAGGTATGTGCAAGGCAAACACCCCGTGCTGCACTATTATTGTTCCAGCCCCAGCCTTCCTTCTTAAACTTAATTACTTCCCAGGACCGGGGATCATACTGTCCTTCTGGCAGGTGGTCTCAGTCCTGGGCAGGGTTTGGGGGCAGCGCTGCCTCTGCCTCGAGCGGCCTGGGTCACCCTCCCCTCAACGATGACGCCTATGACTCGAGCATTGCGGCCCGGGGTAGGAGGGAAGGAGGGAGGGCTTTCTGCAAAATCACCTACTTCTTATAACTCACAAGTCCCCTCCCCCCCCCCCCCCCCCGCCCCGTACCAGTATGACGCGGGCAGAGACAGGGGTGCAGCTCAGCCAGGTCACAGGGACCTAGGTGAGGCAGAAGCAGGGAGCAATGGAAGGCACTTGGGAAACGGAGTATGAGATGGGGTGCTGCATGCCCTGCAAAGGTGCCAGTGGACCTTGCCTGGCCTCAGAGCGCACCAAGGCTGCTGGCCCTGGGACAGGAGAGTGGGGGTAGGGGACAGGGCTAATGGTGGAGCCCCCAAAAAGAAGAGCATGTGTGCAGGTGCCCTTGCCCGGGAATTAAGTTACAAGCTGAGGACGACGGGACAGTCAGGGACAAATGGAGACTACTAATGCCACCCACACAATCGGCCTCTGCCTTTTTTTTTTTTGGTGTAGGAGGGTCACACCTGGTGATGATCAGGGGTTACTCCTGGCTCTGCACTCAGGAATTATTCCTGGCAGTGCTCTGGGGACCATTTGGGATGCTGGGAATCGAACCCAGGTCGGCCGCATGCAAGGCAAATGCCTTACCCGCTGTGCTATCGCTCCAGCCCCTCGGCCTCTGCTTTTATGGACAGTCTCGCCCACCCACGATACACATAAGTGATACATGCTTACAATGTGACCTTGGTACTGATCTCTCATTTCTGGAACAAAAAAAGATTATTTTTTAAATCTACTTTTCTTTCTTTTTTCTTTTTCATCCTCCCATTGGATGTCTTAAACAGCTTACCTGTTGGACCATTGCACACCAGAAACTCAATCATGAATAACTTCATAACTCTTAAATTCACTGTGATTTGATAAAAAATAATTCACGCGCGTGCATACACACATGCACACACACACACACACGCACACACACACACACACACACACACACACACACCTTACCTTACAGGAGCGGAGCAGAAGGACACTGGTCACTTCAGGAAGGTAATAGTTGTCAAAAATGGAGTAGTCGCCGGGAGACATTTTCTGTGACCTCTTCACCTTGCCCTTATAGTGGGGGCTATAGAAATCACTGCAGTACCTGGCAAAACTGAATATCCCCACGCCTGCAAAACAACAGTCAGGGACCCCCATGTGAGAGAGATTCTCAGAGGCCACGAGAGAGCCAGGCCACCTGGCCGGGGGGCTACTTCTGATACAGCAGCATGAGCTGGGGGTCGCCCACCCCCCACCCCGGTCTCCCCAAAAGAAGCAGCTGTGGCCATCCACCCTGCAATGCCCTGGGAAACTCGGGGGTCCTGGGGTCAAATTCTTCAGAAACTGAAAGTTACTGGTTTTGTTCAACACACTGAAAATGCTCATGGGAACAGAGGGTTTTCTCTTTAAGAACACAATCCAGGGGGGCGGAGTGATAGTACAGTGGGTAGGGCGTTAGCCTTGCACGTGGCCAACCTAGGTTCAATCCCCGGCATTCCACCCCCAAGCACCATCAGGGGTAATTCCTGAGTGCAGAGCCAGGAATAACCTCTGAGCATCACTGGGTATGACCCCAAAAGGAAAAAAAAAGAACACAATTGAGGGGTGAGGGGGGTGTGCTGGAGCATAGGACAGCAAGGAGGGTGTTTGCTTTGCATGGAACCAAACTGACCTGGGTTCAATTCCCCAACATTCCATAGGTTCCCAACCCGAGCACTGCCAGGAGTGAGTAATTCCTGAGTGCAGAGCCAGGAGTAACCCCTGAGCATTGCTGGGTGTGACCCAAAGAAGCAAAAAAAAAAAAAAAATCAGGAGTCTGATTCCCATCACCACGTGTGACCCCCAAGCCCTGCCAGGAGTGATCAACCGAAGTGCAGAGCCAGGGGCAAGCGTTCGGGTAAGCAACCGACGTCCAGTGCCATCTCTCTGGCCCCAGGGAAACCAGGCCTTGGGACGGCAGCACCCCTTCCCCACCTGCTCTGTTCACAGCCTGCACCTCTCCTAAGTGGCTGGGCCCCTGATCTGAGAGAACACCCTGTCATGGGCTTCCTGTACTGCCAGTTACCCTCAGAGCTCCCCAGCACCCTTCACTCTGATGCTCACACTTTCACTTAGACCTCGCCTATTTAAAGATGACAAGGAGAGGGGGGGGGCAGAGAGCTGTAGAGTGGGTGAGGTGCTTGCCTTTCACACAGCTGACCAGGCTTAGGTCCCCCACCCTCACGCACCAAGCCCTCCAGGAATGATCTCGGAGCACAGGCCCAAGAGTAAGCCTTGAGCACAGCTGGGTTTGGTCAGAAAACAAAAGTAACCAGGGGGGCTTGAGCAATTGCACAGTGCATAGGGCATTTGCCTTGCATGCAGCCGACCCGGGTTCGATTTCCAGCATCCCATATGGTCCCCTGAGCACCACCAGGAGTAATTCCTGAGTGCATGAGCCAGGAATAACCACTGTGCATTGCCAGATGTGATGTTTTTGTTTTTGTTTTTGTTTTGCATTTTGGGTCACACCCAGCGATGCTCAGGGCTTACTCCTGGTAAGTAGTAATGACACTGAAGAATTACTTGTGGTGTTGCTTGGTGTACCATTAGGGATGCCAGGGATTGCCCTACCCACTGTTCTATTGCTCCGGCCCCAATCCAGTTGATTTTAAAAGAAGGCTCTTTGGCCCACCCTTGTTAAGTGTCAAGTGACACTTCAAATTCAGGGAGCGTATTCTAGAAGTCAAGAAAAAAACAAATCTACTCATGGATTGTTAGCGATCTCCACTGGCCAGACACGGGTAGGCATACTTCACTGCAAAAACACCTTTAGTGAAAAACATTTCCTTCTAATAACCATGCAAACTGCTTATTTTCTTTAGCAATAAAATATTTCAATTGAAAAATACTGATTTGGGGGCTGGAGTAATAGCACAACAGGTAGGGAATTTGCCTTGCACGCAGCTGATCTGGGTTCAATTCCCAGCATCCCATATGGGCCCCTGACAACCGCTAGGAATAACTCCTGAGTGCAGAGCCAGGAGTAACCCCTGTGCATTGCCGGGTGTGACCCAAAAAGCAAAAAAAAAAAAAAAAATACTGATTCTTATAAACTTGAGAGAGAAATGAGCCCCTAGTAGAGAGGTGCTATCTCACAGCCTGGCAAATCAACCATGCTTCTCACTACCTTTTCTCTCATGTCCTGCAATAGTCCAAAAATTGGAACTGCACCAAAACAGAATGAAAATGATCTACATATTACATGAGTGGTGGTGGTGATGCAGGGTGTTTCCTTAAGTCTTCAAATACCTCAAATAAATTAGCAATTATCTAAACAAGCTAGATTTCCCTGCCCCCGCCCCCCCCCCCCCCGCCCCTTAATGTTTCTACCTCTGCTGGGTAATAAAAGAGAGGCTTTATTTATTTATTTATTTATTTTGTTTTTTTGGTCACACCCTGTGATGCTCAGGCGTTACTCCTGGCTCTGCACTCAGGAATTACTCCTGGCATTACTTGGGGGACCATATGGGATGCTGGGAATCGAACACGGGTTGGCTGCATGCAAGGTAAACGCCCTACCCGCTGTACTGTTGCTCCAGTCCCAAAAGAGAGGCTTAAAAAAAAAAAAGAAATGCTCATACAAGTTGACTTCTGATAGAAAGTTATGCTCAGGCTAAACATCTGGAAGACAGTGGGGCCAGAAGTCTCCAAGAGGCTGCACTGGGAGGGTCATGAGGAACCAAAAGGGCTGACCAAAGAGAATTAAAGGATGAGGGAGAAGACAGGAAAAGGAGGTTCCATAATTAGTGCCCTGTCGTTCCCCACCATGATACCCCACTGATGAACGTGAAAAAGAAACAGACACTTTTTTCTTTTTGCTTTTTTGGGCCATACCAAGTGATGCTTAGAGGTTACTCCTGGCTCTGCACTTAGGAATTACTCCTGGCGGTACTTGGGGGACCATATGGGATGCCAGGGATTGAACCTGGGTCAGCTGCATGCAAGGCAAACACCCTACCCGCTGTGCTATCACTCCAGCCCTGTGGACACATTTCTGAGACTTTCCAAGCCCCAATAAACTCTAATGAAATACACAAAAAGACCATCAGCCCCCAAAGTCCTATTGGGGTATTCCCAACCTCCAAAAGCTCAGAGACCATATCCTTTAGTTCACTAGACGTTTCTACTTCAAATCTGTCTTACCGCCTGGGGCTGACCATTGAGAAAGTGGAGCAGAAATGGAGGTAGAGAAAGTGGAGCAGAAATGGAGGGGTGAGGACAAAAGCCACTGAAAGAAGCACAGAGAAAAGGCAGAGCCAGGACTGGCCCCTGGATCCTTTCCCAGTCCAATATCAATTACCAGGAGGAGCTCCCAATGGTCCAAGACTGAATTCACTTTCATGTAAAAAAGGTCCCAAGACAAGAAACATTTTTGGTTTGGTTGGCTGGTTTGGGGGCCATACCCATCTGTGCTCAGGGGGCTATATGTGGTGCTGGGGACAGCACGCAGATCTGCTGCGTGCCAGGCAAGTGCCCACCCTGTTGTTCTCTCCAGCCTGCAGAGAAACGCTTTCAGACATAGCTTTATGGCTATTCCATCTGTGCAAGGCAATGACGACAGTAAACAAAGAGTTTCGGAGCTGGAACGGCAGGACAGCAGGTAGGGTGTTTGCCTTGCACGCAGCAGACCCATGTTCGATTCCCAGCATCCCATATGGTCCCCGGAGCACCGCCGGGAGTAATTCCTGAGTGCATGAGCCAGAAGTAACCCCTGCGTATCGCTGGGTGTGATCCAAAACAGAAAAAAGGAAAAAAAAAAGAGTGAGAGTTTCACTTAGTTTATGACCACTGAAGACTCTCTACTAATTCACCTAACTACTGTTTCTCTTTTTCCTTTCTGTTTTTTTGTTTCTTTGTTTGGCCACACCCAGCAGTACCCTGACTCTTACTCAGAGACCATTTCTGACTGGGATTGAGGAACTCTAAGAAGCGGCAGGGATAGAACAGGGATAGAACCCAGGTCAGCCACCTGCAAAGCAAGCACCTTAACCCCTGTACGATCTCTCCAGGCCCAGCTACTGTTTAATTTCACAGCTTTTTTTTTTTTACATATTTGTTTATTTACTTTTTGATTTCTGGATCACACTCAGCGATGCTCCGGGGTTACTCCTGGCTCTGCACTCAGGAATTACTCCTGGTGGTGATGAGGGACCATATAGGATGCTGGGGATCGAACCCGGGTCAGCTGTGTGCAAGGCAAATGCCTTACTTGCTGTACTATAGCTCCGGCCCCTTCACAGCTGTTTTACAAACCTCTATGTGTGCCAGGCATGATGCCCACTTCCTATACATAGTAATTTAGTAAATTATCTTTAGTAAATTATCTCAAAAACAAGTCTGTGAAATATGGGGTGCATATGCTACTGGGCCACGAACGTAGTGAACAGCTTACCACAGAAGGAACCCAGATCTCTGGAAACTACTGGACAATACATTCCATCCCCCACAGGAAATAATCATCTTAAATAGGCAAATTATAGCTGCTTCAAATATACCCCTTATTTTAACACCTTCAAAAGCTCTCAAATTGAGTAAGGTTTGACCCCCACCCCTGCCAAATGTCAAAAAAAAAAAAAAAAGAATACCGTCAGTCAAAGAAGCCTGTCCAAAGACAAAATTCCAGGAATCTCTTGGATAAAGGTCAATCATCGTGATCCCCACAATGCAGAAGGCATCTCGAGGTTTCTTCTTTTTCAAGAACCGGAGGATCTGCCCTATTCACATGGAGACACATGTTATGTCTTATAGGCGGGCATCGATTCACCCAGCTACTTGGGCCTGGGGGCAAAACACTGCTCACCTGCGTGAATCTGCAGGTTGTGGGTGCTGCCATTGACTCGAAAGGAACAGCATGTCTCAGAGACAGCAACAGGGTCCAGGAGCTTGACAGTCAAGCCATAGAAAAAGGCTTCGCAATAGCTCTTGAGCCACTGGACATAGTCCTCATTGACACTGCTGCTCCCAAGAGATCCTGGAACAGGGATGAAGAGTTTATAAAAGTGAGTCAGACTGGGCTGGAGCTATAGTACAGCGGGTAGGGTGTTTGCCTTACACGCAGCTGACCCGGGTTCAATTCCCAGCATCCCATCGGGTCCCCTGAGCACCACCAGGAGTAATTCCTGAATGCAAAGTCAGGAGTACCCCCTGTGCATCGCCGGGTGTGACCCCAAAAGCCAAAAAAAAAAGTCAGATATTCTTTTTACACCAGTCCATCATGAGCAACCCAATCTTTTGATTCTTTCCCATTTTTTTTGACTATTTATTTTGTTTTGTTTTGTTTTTTTGGCCCCCTATGGCGGTACTCACGGCTTACTCCTGCCCCTGCACTCAGAGATCACACCTTGCAGGCTAGGGGGACCAGATGGTGTACCAGGGATTAAACCCACGCCTGCCACACGCAAGAAGAGAACTTTCCGTGCTATACGATTATCGCTCCATCCCCCAAATCAACTCTTCCTGATACTACTTTAACCCTCATTGAGATGTACTGAAAAAAAGAATATTCTCCAAGTTTTCCACTGCAAGAAAAGACCCTAGAGGGTGCCCACCTGAATCAGACCAACAGCCCCAACTCTCCCTGTGGCAAAAACCAAAGCAAACACAGCACAGGGTCAATAAGTACCAATGCACTGTATATAAATTCGGTGCTTCTCAGGAGAAGGTTTCTTCCTGTAAGGGTCACTGAAAAACTGCTCGAAGTCTTGGGGGTCCTCGGGATGGGAAGTGAGCCAGTCGGACTGCGAATGCAGGGTGATGGGTGCAAAGAGGTTGGTATGCTGCTGGAAGGCATCATTCATCAAATGCCGCTCCTGGACATTGAACTTCTTGTACTGGGCCACTAGTTCAGGGTTCTTGGAAATGAGAGCTGTCTTCAGTGTCTGCGCCGAGTGATGTACTATTTCCATCTGCCTTCCAAATAAGCATAGTTAAAGACAGAAGCCCTGTTTGGGCAACCTGAACACTCCCGTCCCCCACGACCAGGTGGCATTTTTCCCTTGAACACAACCCTCCCATCACCAGTTTCTAAGAGGACGCCCCTTCCCCGTCCCCAGTACTATTTGCTTTTCCTCTTTCCAATCCATTTCTTGGGGTGGGTAGCTGCAAAAGTAAAAAAAAAAAATCATGGAATGCATTCCTCCATGTCTGATGCAACTCCTCTCGTTTATTAAAAAATAAGGGGGGGTGCAGATAGTACAGTGGGTAGGGCATTTGCCTTGCATGTGGCTGCCCCGGGTTCAATCCCCAGAATCCTTATGGTCCGCTATGCACCAAACCAGGAATAACTCCTGAGCATCGCAGGGTGTGACCCAAAAATCCAAAACAAACAAACAAATAAAAAAAAACACCCAAAAACCAAAACCTATCAGTGACCATAAAAGTATGACTTGGGAGGCTGGAGCAAAAGGGTGTTTGCTTTGCATGCGGTCAACCTGGATTCGATTCCCAGCATTCCATATGGTCCTCTGAGCACTGCCAGGAGTAATTCCTGAGTAACCCCTGAGCATTGTCGGGTGTGACCCAAAAAGAAAAGAAAAAAAAAAGTATGACTGGGGCCCAGTATCATTCTCTCCCTGTAAGTCACATCAATCACAGTATTATGAATGGATTCCTCAGGGCCACATGACAGGGACTCACTCTTTTTAATGTGCCTCAAGGCTTTTTTGAGAGGGCAAGGAACGCAAGTGCTGCTATTTCCGTAACTTGATGGAGGGTTGATTGTGCGAATATGTGTTTACTGCTACGAGTTAGTGTCTGAGTCATGTCACCCTGGAGATCATGTCAGAAGTCAGAGTCACAAGGAGAGGTCTCTTCCTTTCACATGTTCCTGTGTGAGTTTTTATCCTGCTGGCTGATGAGCTGTCCCTCCATCAGGCTTTCTGTATTAGAAAAAGAAGACAACGAAGAAAAAAAGAACAGCTCTATCTGGCACTGAGTATATTCTTTCTGATCATCTAGACTTGTGTGGTCTAATGATAGGCCCTGGGACGGAAAATGTTAAACTAGTGGCTCTTCTGACAGCTGAAGTCCTGGGTGTCACACCTGGCAAAAACCAAACAGCAGACTCCCTCTTGTGGACCCCTCACCGGGCGGCCCCGCACTCACTACTCGGCAAAGGGGCAAAACCCTTGTCTTTCCACGGGGCATGATGCCCAGGGCGCTGTGAGCCGTCCTGCATCCGGCAAGTTTCATAAAGACGGGACAGGTTTAAGTCGGAGATGGTGTGCGAGATGCTACCGCCCGTTATTTAAAGGCGCTGTGCAAGGTCGGACTGCTTCCTTCCTCCTCCCAGGTGGTGGCAGATGAGGAGGAAAGAAGCATTAGAAGGTCCTTTCTGGGGTCTGCCCACGACCCGCGGGTTTTGTGCCCACCTGGCAGCATGCGGGGCAAACCCGGTCGCACAAGTGCGCCTTGCCAAGGGGTGGTCCCTAAGTTCCTCCCTGGGCTGGGCCGCATGCAGGAGGGGCCTGGTACCCCGGCTGGGGCGGAGTAGAGAATCCCCCACCCTGGGGACTCATGCTTGGTCTTCTGTGCCCGGGAACCGCCTGAGAGCTGGAGAATTCCCTCCCGCGACCCCATACCCAAGCTCCCTGGTACCCAGCCCCCACCCCCGCGTTCGTCCCTGCAGCCTCGGCCGCCGCCCGTCCCGTGTCCACATCCCTGGCCCCACTGCCCGGCTGCCCGGTCCGAATGGCCCCAGCCGGGTTCCGACGGATCCACTGCGTAGCCCTCACCGGGTTAGGCCAGAGATGCCCAGGACCCCATCCCAAGCGGCCCTACGCGCTTGCGCCACGGGGCCCGCGCCGGGTTCCACCTCTCCGCACAACGCCCGCCCGCGGGGCCACGCCCCCTTTTCAGACCACGCCCCCACGCCGCGCATGCCTCAGCCCGGCGCCGGGCCCCGCCTCTAAGCCCTAAGCCACTCCTCCACAAAGCCACGCCCCTTATCCTTATGTTTTTTGCGCCACGGCCCGGCGCCATGTCCCGCCTCTTCATGCATCATCTCCCTCCGGGCCACGCCCCGTTTACAGACCACGCCCCCAGGCCGTGCCCGCCTCAGCCGAGCGCCGGGCCACGCCTTCCAGACTAGCCCCGCCCCTGTCCCCGCCCTCCAGCCCCGCCCCGCCCCGCCCCAAGCCCCGCCCGGTGCTCCACGCCCCGCGCGCTTAGCTGCCTTAGCAGGCGATTTGCAGTCCTGGGTCCTGCGTCGTGCCGTGGCGGGTCACGGGACAGCTGGGGTTAGGCGCCCCCAGCGGAGGCGGCGTCCGGCGGCGCCGTGGGCTGCAGAAGCGCGCTCTGGGTGACTCACGGCTGCAGCCCCGGCCGCAGGCTGACGCATGGCTCCGAGCGCTGCTGCTCTGCCCAACGCCCGCCGGACTTTCCCTTCTGTGTTTGGTGGCAGCTGTCCCCGCGCGGGGGTGGGCAGTAGGGTTGGGGCGAGGTGGGGGAAGAGGGGGGAAACGCAGCAGCCGCCGGAGGTGGCCTCGCTGGTGCTGAAAGATCTAGATGACTGTGCATGAGCTCTAGAAAGGGAGCCAGGAGGGCGTGGTGGGCCATGGGTGGACCTTCTCTCCGCACCATTATGATGATAATAATAGTATGATAATAATAATAATTATTAGCTACATCCGGAGGTGCTCAGGGACTACTGCGGGGTTGCTCCTGGCTGGGGGCCCTGGGAACCGGGCATTGCCAATGGAACTCCAGGCTTGTGGGTTACTTCTGGTCCTCCCCCCACACACCCGGCGGGGCCTTTTAACCTGTCTGGTCCCCACAGCTCCCACAGCTGGGATCCCTGACTCCCTTCCATCCTGGGAAGTTGATTGTGGCAAGACAAAGCTTTCTCTGATGCCACCTTTATTTAACCTCACAACTGTCAGGCCTTAGGATACCAGGGTCAGGCTGGCCAGAGCCAGTGACTCTGCTGGTGACAAACTGACTGAATAAGCATCGTTTCCCCACTGACCCCTAACCCGCTTTGCGAACCAGCTCAGTTATTCCCCCCCACACCGGGGTATTCCCCACCATGTCCGCCTTTGCAGCTGCCCACAGGGAAATCCGGGACTCCCTACTTCATGGTCCACCTGTTTCCTCAAACCTTCTTCATGCGTTCACAGCATAGACCACACCTTGGGGAACCCCCTTCCAGACATCCTCACCTCAGCTTCCCTCAAACATACTAAGTGCCATTTTTTTTAAATTTCCAGCCACTGTCCTGGCTCTGCAAAGCCCCCTCTGTCTGCCCCCTTGGAGTCCAGGACAATTTCAGTACATTTGGGTTTTCTTCATCCTTGACTGTGCTTCCTGACTCAGGAGGGACACACAACATAATGCACTTCAACACTTGTTTTACTGTCATGCTTTTTCCCCAGTAACTCCTTCAAGGACCTTAAGGAAAGGATCAAGCGTGGAGGTTTGATCTTTCCTTCTCACTGCCTCAGTCTTTCCCTCCTTCAGGATCATGACATCTGAATGTGTTCTTTGGTTCCACTGCCCATATCCACCCTGACCTGGATCCATTTCCTCAATAGGCAGCATTTGTACCATCTCAGGTCAGCGGGCGAGGACCAGGAAGTCAAGCAACCTTAGGATTCATTGTGAACATGAAAATACAGGACACGAGATGGCGGCTCTTCATTTCCCTGAAGTGGTAATGACAGGGACTGACCTGGATAGGTGACAGGCGAAGGTCCTGGACTCAATAGCAGAAGGTGACACTACAACGGACTCTGGTCTGGGACACATGAGGCCGGATGTTGGGACAGTGGTAAGTGGAACCAGGACTCTGGGGCCAATCCAGACCAGTTGAGGGGAAAGTTATCCATGGCCCACTGAAAAACTCTGACCAAGATGTCTGACCAGAGGGACCAGCCCACAGAACAGAGAGATAAGTAAAGTGAAGAACAGCTCAAAAATATCCATTCTCAGCTGCTGACCAGACATGAGCCAACAGTAAAAGAAGATGGGCCCTATCTTTCCAGACAACATTCCATGGCATGCTTGGACGCTTCACCCACACAGTTACGTGGTAAGCACAAAATGTGGTGGCTGAGTTTCGTCTCCGGAGGAGTAAAGGCAGAAGTCTCCTCCTTTGAAGTCCTCCTGGGCACCCAGGAGAGGAAGTACTTGAAGGGGATAGACAAGAGAATGAGTAGAAGGGTTGCAAATAATGAGACCAAAGATGCGGAAGTTCTTTTTTTTTTTTTTTTTTTTTGGCTTTTTGGGTCACACCCAGAGATATTCAAGGGTTACTCCTGGCTCTGCACTGAGGAAGTACTCCTGGCAGTGCTCGGGGGACCATATGGGATGCTGGGATTCCAACCGGGGTCGGCTGCGTGCAAGACAAATGTCCTACCCAGTATACTATCGCTCCAGCCCCAGATGCGGAAGTTCTTGGTCCCATAAGCAGTGTTTGAATGTTTGCTGGACATTAGTCAGCCTCCTTTCCTGGTACCATGTGGGACTGAATATGTGGCCCCACAAAGTCAAATGCACGGCTCAGGAGAGGAACATCCTTCCCACCTAGCCCCGGAGTGTCAGGAATAAACTTGGGCCTTAATCTGCAAACCATATGCTCAGATCTTGAAGCCCTCTCCCATGTTACTAGGTTCTGATTTTAAGAAACTGGTCTTTATAACAGTCATCAAGGCTCAAAAGGAAGGCTCCAGAAAGAAATTTAGAAGGTCTCAGAAAGTGGGAAGGAAATGCAATGATAGGACAGAGGAAGGACTTTTTAAGTAGCTCTCACAAATCAATAGTGGGAAGATGCATGCCAAGCCAACCAACATAAGCAAAGACTATATAAACAGATACAGGATCGATTGTCATAAAACGTCCATTTTACCAACAATAAAAATCAAATGGGAAGCACTCTAATACTTCTTCTCACCAAATACTTCTTATCAAATTGATAGGACTTTATATGGGGATGATCCCAAGTTTACAGAAAACCAGCAAGACACATACCATATCTCCCACTCCAGTCTTCACCTATGGTTCCTTGTTGCTACCTTTTTTTTTTTACTTTTTGGGTCACACCCAGTGATGCACAGAGGTTACTCCTGGCTCTGCACTCAAGAATTACCCCTGGCGGTGCTCAGGGGACCATATGGGATGCTGGGAATCGAACCCAGGTCGACCGCGTGCAAGGCAAATGCCCTCCCCACTGTGCTATTGCTCTAGTCCCCCTGTTGCTACCTTTTACCTCATTTGCTGTCTCATTTTCTCACTTATTCTCTGTCTCAGGTATTTTGCCCGCAACCATCTGCAAGTGAGTTCTACAACTCACTTGTACGGTATTCATTTCTTCCTGCGTTTTTTACATTTTCTAAAACAGTTAACGTCTTCATAAATAACCCCCAGACAACTGAAAATGCGTCAGGATGAACTAATTTTAACTTTATGAGTGGCCTGCCCCCAAACATTTTCCCTCCGGTCTCTGAATTTGACTCATTCCTGCATCCTACTAACACTCACTTAGATGAACAGTCACTCTATCCATTCTGTTTCAAAGTTCTTTGATTTCATCTGTAAATGACTCAATAGATTAAAATGTTCCAAATGCTGGTTTTGAAATACCAGCAAACATTTACCACCTACATTTTGGTACTTTTTTGCCAAAATTTTCATCTTTTCCACACTTTCCATCTTTCCAATATATATTTTCAACATTTAGTGTTTCAGATTTTTTTGGGGGGGGTACTTTTTTTCATTTTTGTTTTGTTTGGGGGGACATGCCTGGCTGTGCTCAGGACTTACTGCTGGCTCTGTGCTCAGGGTTCATTACTGGCAGGGTTCGGGGCACCATTTGACGTGCCAGGGATCAAATCCAGCTCAGCTACATGTAAGCAGGGCAAGCAACCCTGAGCCTAACCCTGCCCTCTAAACTATGGCTCAGGCCCCCTTGGGTGTTATAATAGGGTTGTAATGAACAGTAAGCTGCTCACCTCCTAGGCTAATTTCTAAGAGACACCTGTTCTGAGCTGTTTTGCTGTGTTCCCTGCTTTTAAATAATATCTGCAAAGGGGATTTCTCTATCTGCGGATTTATGGTACCTGTGAATTTATGTGGATTTATTCTCCCAAAGAGGAATTGAAAGAGTTATGCTTGGAGTATCCTGCTTCACTCAAATGAGAGAAAGAATCTGGACCTCTGTCCACGGTCAAGAATCGGGGACACTGTCTCGTTTGCCAAGGCCTCGAAAATCAGATGGGTTGGACATGTAATGAGATTTGGAGATGACTGCTGGACTAGAGCCGTTACCGACTGGATTCCATGAGACATCAAAAGATAGCATCGCCGCCCATGTACGAGAAGGTCAGACTTCTTCGTCAAGACCCTAAATGATCGGTTTGAGGCTGTTCGTGTTCCTAGAACGAGCAGACGCCATTGGGCTACACTAACACGCGACAGGGACGAATGGAGACGTTACTGGTGCATGCTCTGACAAATTGATGAGTAATGGGATGTCAAGTGATCAAATGACCAAGTGGATTTATGGTACCTTCTACTGAGTTGATACCACAAAAGAGAGAGACTTAGCCATCTCCTCCCTTTTCCCTCCTCCCCACCTTCTTCTCAACATGATTGTGTTGCTAATTTGGCTGGAGCTTGGAGCAGGCAGTTGGCATTTATAATGTACCGATTCAACCAACACTGGTCACCCCAGAAGTGAGCCGGTACTGACCATGCTGTTTTGTTGTTTCCACTCAGGGCTCATAAACATTTCATTTCCCTTATTTGCTATCTTTTCTTTT